GGATATGCATAAGAGCCAAGCTGGGCTTCGCTGACTACAGTAAGCCTTTTGCAAAGCAACTTAAAATCACAATTAAAAATAACACATATTTGCATGCCTTAGCAAACGGGCGTTTGGACATCAGGAAGTAGTTCTTTCAGGTTTTGCAGTTTCTTGCTCACGAGCGCCTCAGGTAAAAGGAAAATATGTCGTCCAAGGGCGTGGCTGGCACTCCGCTGTAAGGCGAGATATACGCGGGCGCATGACCAAATTTTTTCGCATCACGGTGTATCATATGAACACATGACTGAAAAAGCTAAGCGAATTGCTTTCTGGCATCATGATATTCTCCTTTTAGACTTATAAATTCATTTCAAACTTTTTAGCAGCTCCTCCAACTGGGCGATTTCATCGCAAATCGCACATACCTGTCTTCAAATATATAACTATTTTCGCCTTCCCCCTTCCATTCCCGACTAGGTGCGTTTCTGATGGAAGCGAAGGCGAGCAGTGGCGGGCCACCTAAGACCTTGCATCCCACCTAGCGCACTATCCTGGATCACTGGCTTTCCACCGAGGATCAGTGTGAGACTTCACGCCTTCATTTAGATTTATGTAGATCTGTGCAGCGTATCCTCGGTTCAAGTAACAGATTCCTGGCCTCTTCATTGGCTACGCGTTCTTCGATCAGCTGACACCTCCAAAGCGCAACCGTTAGTGAAACATACGACAATATTGAGCGAAAGTTTACTAAAATGACCTGGCCACGCTCCCTGGCTTTGGGCCTGCCTCTTTTCATTTAAATCAATGGCTACGTGAGTGTGCTATGCGAGAAAGTGTAGTACCGGGGTGTTTTGCAATTTTGGTTTTCCCAGATGTCGGGCTAAGGGAGTCAAGGTCAAATAAGATGAAGTAAAATTACGCAGGCCCTAAATTCATGCAAACCAAAGGTTCCTGTATTACAAGAATGTTAATATCACGCAGCAACGAGTGGCTCGCTCTGCCATTAGGTCCGGTGAGTGTGTTGAGATGAAGGAGGGGTCGATCGTTGGAGTGATCAGTCGCAGAAGCATGAGGCTGGCGAATAAGCCTCGATTCATAGTAAGGGAGGCTACACAGAGTCCAATGCACCTTTTTCCTAGGACGATTTTCATTTATTGATAAAAGGGATGACGTTAGTTCTGCACGTAGAATGTTGTGCGGGCACTTGACTCTCTGTAGTGCACAAGCACTACAAGGGTTCCCCCGTGAGCCTATTTTGTGAAGCAAACATAATAGCGAGGCCAACTAGGCAAGAGATAGGGAAAACTAGCTACGAGAGCCAGCTAGCTATGACGCACTTCAGCGAGTCAGGAGCAGGCAGATCTTTTACGGCCTCCTTTCAATGAAACAAAGGGAGTAGAGACATGATTTGAGATTATGCGGATTTAAGGAGTGTTTACATGATTTGCCGGGATTCTCGTCCCAGAGAACCACTTCGGAATATAAGTAGTGGCAGCAGCAAGTCCGCTCGCGCACTGCGTTTGAGATCTATTCCCGTTCCACGATTAGTTTTTTCCCTTTTCTTTTACCCATAGCTGAATGGCTGAAGTTTCTTCTACGAAGCCTTGAACCTGAAGCATCTCTGGCTGGAGCTAACACCAGCTATGCCCCTACACAGTGTTCAAATGATTAAAGCAGCTACGCCACCTCCACGCACCATTTGCATGATAAGAGAGACCAGTCGAGCAAGGCATACAAGTGTTCCATTAGCGCCACCTGGGGGTTCTGAGGAGGCACGTGAATCGGTACAGAGAGCTGCATTTAGAAAACGTACACGAGAGAAACCCCAGGTGGACTAAACTGAGCTTAGCGAGGTAGCCAGCACACGTACAAGCCCTTCTACTGCACAAAAGCGCTCCGGGGAACCCCCAGCCAAATGACAGCAGCTGCCTTGTGAAGGTGGAGGAAATGTGAAGAAGTTCCTGGACTTAGTGAAATTTTGCTTTACGGAGATGGTACTTGGAAGACAGAAATGTTGGTTCGAGCCAGTGGAATATCTGGAAGGACAGGCTTTGGGGTACTGGCTGCGCTTGAAGGACACCCGTGCGAAACAGTGACGGACTGGACAGACTTTAAGCGAAACATACTATAATTTTTCGCCAATGTTGACCGCGATTGAATTCCATACCACGTTTCCAACAACTAGTGGACAGAAGACCACCAGAAGTACTCTGCCAACTTTGCAAACATAGCTGCACGGGGTACGCCGATGGTAGCCACTGACTTCGTTCCCTATTTCCTAGCCGGCTTTCCCGTCGAGTTGAGTAAGGCAGTTGTTCGTGAGGGACGGTCCAGTTTCCATATTGGAGAGCAGCAGCAGCAGCAATTGTGGAAGACGAAGCGCCGGGGGTTCAGATGGCCGAAAGCTTCTGGAGACGTGTGCATGGAGTGCGGTAGACTGGAATGCTATGCTAGGGACTGCGCTATATCCATTCGCTTGAAGAATGAAGACAAGGGCAGGCCTCGATAGAAGCCGCCATTGCCCAGTGACAGGAAAGATGAGCCTAGGCATTGTGGGGGGTGAACATACTTGGCGTACTACTCATGGCAGGGGTGCGATGTGCCCCGTGTGTGTGCGCGAGTGTGTGTGTGTGTGTGTGTGTGTGTGTGTGTGTGTGTGTGTGTGTGTGTGTGTGTGTGTGTGTGAAAAATCAAAGGACGGCAACTTAAGGTGTCCCAACGGAGCCCTGCACAGTAAGCATATGACTTTCTGGCCAAGCACGTGGCCGGCATCTCAGCAGAAGAGGCAACAGCACTCCTATGAGCGTCTCGTAAGCGACAATTGACCCGCATAATGGCAGGAAAGAATGCATCTGTCAAGGCATTAATTCGACAAGCTCAGGTGGACATGCAGAGACTAAGAATTCCACTGAATGGGTTGAATAACGTACGGACATTGCGTGATTCGGGCGAGGCCGTGGCCCTTAGGTTGTTGGAAGAGGAACAATGAACTCTGTGCTATGCAATAATTGGCCACTATGAAACTTACACAGGACAGATCACCCGAGCCGTTCCCGTTCTCACGACGAGTGTTAAGGACAAGGAATCACCGAGGTACTTGCCGTGAATCGAGAGGTCTCCCCCTGACAGTTCCCTTAAAGGACTCCGGCTGCGGTGCGCAAGCGTTTGATGCTCGTACATTCGGAACTGCTAGCTGCGGCGCCACCTGCAGAATTCCAGTTGCCACTTTGCGACGGAAAAGGTTTCCTCCCTCCATTCTCTCTGTCTCTGCAACAATAATGCAGCCAGGATACTTTGAGCCATAACCTACTGACGGGAGAACTTTTGTTACTACTGACGATGTTGTTGTTATCGTTGTATACAGCATAACTCACACTGTTTTGGCGAAAACAATAGGCGTAATATTACATATAATGCGCAGATACTACAATAGGGCTTGCTGGTGACTTTCAGAAGGTAGCTTGCTGTTGACACATAAGAACTTGAGAGGTTATGAAGCTGATCAAGCGTGGAAACTTCTTGTAAGTGAGTAGAAAAACAATTTGCCAGCAAAACAGCATCTATAAACTAGAAATATTTACGAATACGCTAAGATTGGGGCTGGCGATAGCTCCGACATCGGTGCGGGTCATGTGGTACATTGCGTTCCCTGCAGCGTCTACGATGCTGCACGGCCCACAACTCTAGCCGTCTATGAAGTATTCTTTTCTACAGACGCATCGGTCGCGTAACGTCTACCAATTTCTTAAAAGAACCATTTTTGTTTCAAGTTCTGAAAACGATGTTTCCTAAAAGTCACTCCTCACGGTTCTTGCTTTGCTGGTCCAGTGAGGATATGACGCGCACCTGTACTACACTGCGTTCTCTGCAGCGTCTACGACGCTGCACTGCCCACAACTCGGGAGTTCTAAGAAATATTCTCTACTACCGAAGCATCGGTCGCGTGACGTCTACAAATGTATTGAAAAGACCGTTTTGTTTCGAGCTCCCAAACCCATATTTTCTTAAAAGTCGTTTCTTCTTGTTTTTGCTGTGCTGGTCCGGTGAGGATGTGACGCGCACCTGTGCCGGCGTTGTCGGCAGCCCCAATCGTAGAGCATTCGCAGGCATTTCTAGTCTATACACGTTAATTTGTTAATAAATTGCATTTGTATTTCACTAGTAAAGCGCTCAGTCCGCATCTAAACCTTTTAACCGCATATAGGTCATCAGTTAGCTATCCTCTATACGTCAACAGCAAGGCCCATTGTAGTGCTTGCGCACTACAACTTCCCCCCTTGCCGGGCTGAACCGGCCTTCTCACAGCATATTATTTCTGCCTTTTCAGTCCTTATTCCCTTGTGAAGCTAATGCCATGAGCGCATGCGGTACGCAGCGCTTCCTCCCCCACCTCGTCATTGAAGGCTGTCGTGTGGCGGCAGTTGACGGACCCAAACCGCTACGCCTCGGAAGAAGCAAGATTGTTTCGAACCTGAAGACGTCTTCTCTGACGGCGGTGCCAAGCAGGGAGCAGAGCCTGACATCCTCTAAGGTGGTGGGCGGGCTCCCATTTGGCTTGATCTTTAGGGGTCCCGCGCCACTTCACGAGGTACTGAGCTTCATCTCCCGAGCAGTATTGGTCTATTATATAATCGACTCCATACCCCTCTGTCGGATTGCCTGCCGCATCGCGGATAGGGGGCCAGGCGGTGTCGGCTTCCTGGGGAACCAAGTCTGGAGGGCGGGGGCGGTGGGGAACTAGCTGCGAAGCATGAAAAACGTTGTGGCATTCATAAGTAGGATGTAAAAAGAGACGGTAAGCGACGGTGCTTATTCTTTCAATGATTTCAAGGGGTCTTCGGTAACGGGGCTCGAACTTAGAGCAACTAGAAGAAGCCGGTAGATGCTTGCTGCCGAGCCAATCCTTGTCGCCCACTGCATACTCCACAGCTCGGCGCTTTTTGTGTGCTTAATATTTCTGCTGCCATTATGCCTTCTGTATGTGGCTCTGCGCTCTGTCGCAGAGCTGCCGGAAGAGCTTAGTCATCGGAGGAATGAGCGTAGGGGCTAACTTGCCTACGATATCAAGAGATTCGCAGCAGTCAGCGGGTCCTCGCCGATCATGATCTCGAAGGGAGAGAGCTCGGTGGATGAATGGCTTGTCGTGTTTTAGGCAAGTTCCAGGGGCGGAAGCAAAAGCTCTCACTCGCGTTTGTCGGATTGGATGTAGGTACGAAGCATCTGGTCCAGTGTGCGGTTAACCCTTTCAGTTTGACCGTCGCTTTGTGGATGGTAGGACGAGGACATGGCGCGTTTGATGTTAAAGCGGCGACATAGTTGTTGCCAGAGGTCTGACTGGAAGCGGGGGTCGCGGTCCGATAAGAGTATCTCTGGAAATCCGTGGTAGCGGATCAGTCGGTCTGCGAGAAGCTCCACGGTGTCTTCTGCTGTGAATGACTTCTTTGCAGGAACGAAATGAGCCATCTTGCTCAGAGAGTTGACCATCACGAAAAATCGAGTCGTGCCCTGTCATCGTAAGGGGAAGATACGTGATAAAATCGAGGTTCACGTGCGCCCATCGACGCGACGGGATGAGTAGCTGCTGAAGAAGGCCTGCAGGTTTCTGGCTCAGAGACTTAGACGCACGACAGTGAATGCAGGACTCAACATACGCTGTAGTGTGAGCAAGCATCCCTGGCCAGTAGTAGTGCTTGCTCAGAGCCGTGAAGATCTTCTTTTGGCCTCGATGACCGGCTGTCACATGGTCATGATGTGAGTGCAAGACATGCGTGAGGAACTCAGGGAATTGTGGAACACAGATTCGCCGTAGTTCATGAACACAAGTCTGCAAGTAAGGCGGCACATAGCGAAAGGTGACGTGACAATTGCGAAACTCTATCTGTATAGCGTCTCCTGGTTGTTTTGCAGCGACTTCGTAGGGAGCGCGGAAAGCAGGACACTTTGACTAGGCTTGCGGCCATTCAGGCGCCTCAGGAGGGTCAGCTCGAGTCTTCGTTGCAGGTGTGTGATGTTCCGCCTCTGGATTGGACTCAGGCGGCGGAGTTGTAGGTGGTGATGGCAAAGCGCGTTGTCTGGATCATCGCGAACGAATTCCGGCGAGCTCCCTGTATTTAGCAAGCCGACCAGGAGAGCGAAGAGCCGCGCGCGTTTGCTCTACTGCAAGCATCAATGGTGTCGTTAGTGTGTTGTGCGAGCTGGTGTTAGAGAGACCGGGACGGCGAGCCAAGGCATCAGCCGCCTGATTTCGCGCTCCTTGAACATAAGTGATGTGCAAATCCAGGAACTCGGCCAGGAAGTCTAACCACCGAGCGGTGCGTCCGGGCAAAGGCTTCGATGCTTGGAGTCGTTGGAGATGCGTAAGATCTTGGTGATCTGTATGAGCCGTCACTTTTGCGACACGGAGTAAATGAGAACACTTGTCCAGGGCCGTGACCAACGCCAAGAGCTCTTGATCGTAGATCGAGTATTTCTGTTGTGTCGGGTTCATAACTTGGCTGAGGGGACCGATGGGCTTGCCTTCTTTTTCTAGAACCGCTCCGATCGCATAGCCAGAGGCATCCGTGTATAACTGGAAACGCTTCGTGGTCTCAGGAGCTTGTAATGTAGTGAAATCGATTAAGCGCTATTTGAGCTGCTGCACCGCCTTTGTGTGAACTTCTGTCCATTTGGAACTAACATCTTTACGTGTAAGATCAACCAGAGGCCGCGCAGTGTCTGCATAATTAGGTCCCATGAACATGCGACAGTAATTTATGCTGCCGAGGAACTACCGCACTTGCGTTTCGTTTTCCAGCACCTCTGGCCAGTGCCGGATAGCTTCCATTTTGTCTTCTGCAGGTTTGATGCCTTCGGCAGTGATAGTGTAACTCAAATATGTGATTGCTTGCCTAGCGAACTTGCATTTGCGGAATTTTGGGTAGAATTGGTTATGCAGGAAAACACTGAGAACTTGTCGCAGGAGGGAAACGTGTCCAGCGAGGTCGGAACTATAAATAAGTACATCATTTAGGTACGCAATAACACCGTATCCTAATAAAGGCTGTAGATAGGCATTAATGTTGGCCTGGAACGTAGCTGGAGCACCCTTAAGGCCAGATGGCATAACTCGATATTCAAATAGCCCTAGAACGGGACGGAAAGCCGTCTTCCAACGGTCTTCCTTAGCCATACGTATTTGGTGGAGTCCTGTTTCAAGGTCCAAAGAGGAAAAGTACTTGGCTCCTCCCAGCATCTCCAGAATGGTTTGAATGGGAGGTAATGGAAAATCAGGAGTGACTGTAAGGGCATTCAGAGCCAGGTAGTTAACAACCATACGCATCTTCCGCTCCCCAGAGCCATCATCTCGCTTGTCGAGCACTATCGTAGGAGAGCAGATAGGCGAATATGTTGGTCTGATCCCACCATTGTCCGCTAATTTAGCTATCTCCTGTTTGTGGAATGTGAGCTGATCTGGGGTCATGCGGTAAATCACAGATCTCGCTGGAAGTTTTCCAGGTACAAGTAGGATATGGTGGCAATGAGGGCGCTTCGGCGGCAATCCTTTAGGTACGTTATCGGGGATGACCGCCTGATTCTCTTTCAACACCTTGGTAATCTCGAATGGAATAGCTTGTGCCTCTGTCGAGTGTATCCACTCATCGAAGAGTGTGTGTTCGAGTTTTGCCGTAGGCCGTGGAGACTCTTCTTCATCCTCCGCTGCTGTCAAGGCACTAGAAGCCAAAGGAAGGCTAGAACCGGAGGCTTTGGGTCGATTCCCGATCAACGCCCAGCAAAGTGCGCCTTGACACTCGTCCGTGAACCTCAGTGCCACTGACGAGCCAGCGTCGGGCAAAGCCAGGATAAAATGCAAACCGTGCAATGGTGCTCTGAGATTCTTTGCGTCGGCCGCAGCCTGGCGAACAAGCGACGTTATCCGTGCCTTCGCCTCAGTCTTTGCATGGGATTTACACCTTTTAGGTGGTGGCCGTAGGAGTATGGCAGCCTCCTCCGCTGACATACCCGCCACTTGCTTAGCCAAAATATCATACGCTTGCTCTGCAGGAGTTCTTGGAGGTGCTACTATGACTTTCACCCTGCAATGTCTCTTCACCCATCTTAACGACAGGTAGCTCGCACCACTGGCCATTCACATGGGTCCGGAGCTTGTGGGACTGAAAATACCAGGCCACCTTATGTTTAATCAGCCAATCCAAACCCAAAACTAAATCATAGGGAACGGTTCCCACCAAGAATTCCCCGGAAAAACGTGCGTGTCCACACCACATCGTCAACCCCGTCACAACTCGATCAATGCGCAATTTTTCACCAGTAGCAACAGTGGACCTATGCTCTTCTGGAAGTCTCCGCAACCTCAGCTGCAATCGCTCGACTGTTTTAGGGTTAATGAAACTTCTCGAAGCGCCTGTGTCTAAAAGCGCCTCTCATGAACTTCCTGCAAGTTCAACGCGAAGTACTGCTGTTGCACCGGCGTAACACAAGGCTCCTCCTTGGTTGCAAGATTCCTTTGCACACGTTTCCCGCCACCAGTGCGGCATAGTCTCTATCGCTTCTGGCCTCCAGTCTTCTTCCGTCGCTTCTGCATACTTCCCGCTGTTATCCGTCTTCTCGCACGGAGCCGCTTCACTCCGCATCGCCACCGGCCCACACTACAACCGCGTTCCCGAAGGCGGCTGAGTCCCTGCACGTCCTCATCGCTCATTTTGTTTTCCTCTCCCGTGTTGAGGAGACGGTTCCCCCGTTCTAGGGAGACTGGAATGGCATTAGGTCCTGTCGCTACCGCACACATCATCCCTTTGCCATGGCTACGCGGCCTAGAACGCTCGTCTCCAACAACGCCTAGGCCACGCGGTTTAACCGTTCGGTCTTCTCAGTGCTGGGACGGATAGGTTGCCTGTTGCTCTTGTTTTCCGGCTCGGCACGGCCTCGTTCGTCTGTAGGATAGTCACGAGCATAGTGTCCAACACCTGCACACTTCTTGCAGGTCTCGCCTGGCCGATTGGTTCGTTCCCCTTTGCTGGGGCAAACTCGTGCCGGGTGTCCACGATCATGACACTCGTAGCAGTTCCCGGAGTTTCCTCCAAGCCTAGTTTCATTTTCCTGCTTCCGATGGGTTGCATTCGCCTCTTTAGCAGCTCTTATCGCTCGACTAGCCCTTTCTCGTAGCTCTAGCACAGTCTGCTTAGGTTCATAGAGTCGCGCTGCTGCTGTCGCCGCTTGTTCCCAGGAGGGATACCTCACCAGCCCATTATTTGTAATGAGAAGGTGGAGGTCAGTTGGTAGCCCAGCGCAGTAGAATTCAGCGAGTTCGACGGGGGCGATCCCAACTCCACGCTCTGCTACAGCCGCAAACTGGTCCGTATACTCTTTAGGGTTTCCATTCCACCGTGCTTTACCCAACTCCGTTAGCAGTTGACTCTACGACATTGTCTTGTCGAACCCTTCCAGAAGCCGGCGCTGTACAGTCGCCCAGTCGCTTAGGTCGATAGTTCGCTATAGATACATCCAATAAGCTAGAGCTGGACCCACAAGATGGTCGATAAGTGCGTCCCCCCACTCACTGGTCTCCAATCCCATCTGAGTGTACCGTCGTTCGATACGCATTAAAAAGGCCTGCATAGTACTGCCGTCTTCAGGGAGTATAGGCGACGTTACGCTCGATCCTCCAGGCCCTCCTATAACATTCCTTTTCACAGCCTTCGCAGAGTGGAATTTGTCCCACGTGACGTACGGACAGTCCCCTGGCATGCCTTTAACATTTGCTGTAGGTGCCACCTGCTGGGGTGTCTCCTTACGCCCGTGCGGCCGCTTTGCCACCGATGGTTTCGGAGTAGCATGTCGAGGTTGGGTTGGTGTTCCACTGGGCAACTTGTTTACTGACATGGTAGAAGTGTCCTGTTGCATAGGTCCGACTACCCGTCCGCTGCGTAGGTGCATTCCTTACTCAGCTAAGATATCTAGGTGCGAATTATTAAAGCAAAGTATTTCTACCATCAGGTCTGGAGAAAACAGTTTTTATATCCCGGAACAGCCCCCAAATGTAGTACACTGCGTTCTCTGCAGCGTCTACGGCGCTGCACTGCCCACAACTCGGGAGTTCTAAGAGATATTCCCTACTGCCGAAGCATCGGTCGCGTAACGTCTACAAATGTATTGAAAAGACCGTTTTGTTTCGAGTTCCCAAACCCATATTTTCTTAAAAGTCGTTTCTTCTTGTTTTTGCTGTGCTGGTCCGGTGAGGATGTGACGCGCACCTGTGCCGGCGTTGTCGGCAGCCCCAATCGTAGAGCATTCGCAGGCATTTCTAGTCTATACACGTTAATTTGTTAATAAATTGCATTTGTATTTCACTAGGAAGAGGCTATAACGCTCAATCTGCGTCTAAACCTTTTAACCGCATATAGGTCATCAGTAGCTATCCTCTATAGGTCAACAGCAAGCCCCATTGTAGTGCCTGCGCCCTACACACAGCCTCTAAATATTGCCACCTGCAATAATCAGCTGTGGTACGTAAGTGCCTAGCTTCTGAGGCTCAAAGTTCAAGGCTCACGTATGACTTATTGATTGAGCGACGAACCCAACTGGCATAATGTTCTACAAGGGATTAACCTTGGATATAAATACTTTGTCTGACAGCATCATGTGAGCCTTCCCACGCTTCCAGAGAGAGTATATGGAGGCGGACCTCTTTTGCAGGTTGGTGGGTTCAAGCATTTAACGGTGCCAGCACAACACATTTTACTTCATCATTATAACCCAGTCTCTAGCTCTTGGGATGGAGCAAGATTTGAGGTGGACCTGTGTTCCTAAGATTCTATCGCTTCCCGGTAAGTGCTAAGGATATGCTCATTCGAGGCTAGTTGGGACACACCGCATAGCGCTTAGTCATAATTTGCTGCATGCTAGATTTGCAGAGATTCTTTTCTGCTACCGATGTGTGTACTACGTATATGCTTACGTAATTCCTGCAGCATAGACTACAATAGATTTCACAATCAGAGCCTCCATAGCAGTCCCAAGCGCTCTTCGCACCACAGAAGGGAGATTCGGTCCCTTTCGGACTTTTGCGAAGCCTTGAACAATCACTTTCTTTCAAGATACCACGCATTCGACTCAACAAAGTACATTATTGTGCGGTTTGACAAATTCAACTGATTGCTTCCATGGCAAGTTGCCATGCTATGCACCCGGTGTCAAAGCCTGCCACAAAAGCTCGCCATGATGCTGGGCATGGAAAACTTGAAGATGTCCAGAGCTCTATAGTCCTCCATAGCGTAAAAGTTAGCCTATATAACTGGCACTCCCGATATTAATAGGTCTTCTAAACGCTGGCTTCTCCCCAGCTTTCATGTGGAGTCCATTAGCAAGGTACTACTTCGATCAACTATATATCAAAGTTGGAAGCGGCAACGACAAGAATGCTCATGAGGAAAGTGTTACCCATGGGACGCCTGGAACGGCTGGTGGCCACGAAGGTAGCCGCGTCTCCCTGAAGACATTGTTTGTCATAGCATAGCTCTCCACAGCATGTGCATCGTCGTCCATGTCAGAAGCAAGAGCATTTTGGGTAAACAACCAGGCTCTGTGAAACATCTAAGTACTCTTATTCCAATTCTTTGACGTGATATTTTTGCCTTTGCCGCTTAGCTTCATTTTCTGAGGTGCATGTAGTTATTCACGCAAAGCTATGCCATATCGTTTTACCTGTTCGAGTTGTTAAGCCCTCTATGCTAGCTCGTGAGGCTTACCCTTGATCATTCTATAGAAACCATGTTGCTGGTTCTTTAACCTTGTGTGACCCTCTCTTGGAAACATTTTTCACTTCCCCCTGCAATCAGGATTACGAACCACGCTGCATTCAAGCAACTGTCGAATATCATAGTTTAATATGGACAAAAAATGAACAATACAAAATTGTACACGTAAAGGTATAACTCTCAGAAGATCTTCGTTCAAGCGTCTTCGCAGTCTGAAGACGCAAATCCATAAGCAGCTGCTGTCGTGATTGCTCATTTCTATTGGCGCCCCTCCCAGTTGGCACCAGATACATCTGAGTAGCATTCAGATGCCTTCGTACTACATTTCATTGGCCTAAAAATAACGTTTGGTCCTAGATTACTGCACAGTTTTAGAAGTTGACAAGCGTCTTTTTTGAGGTAGTACTGCACACTGCGCTTTGGCCAAGTACTCTCGTGTGTCTTGGGTTCGAGTGTAGTCTAACTTCAAACTGAGTCCTTATCTGTGTGTCCCTACATTTGCGGCATACTATCCTACAAACTAACCTACGTGCAACTTTTGAAATGCGCTAGTGTCACGTTTCCGCGGTTGTACAGGACCGTCCTAGGCTCTTATGACATCAGGCTGATCGCACTCTTCAAAAAAAATAAAAAACCTTATAAAAGCAATGGTTGCTGATTCCAAGCTCCACATTAGTCCAAGCTTTACAAAGAAGAGTCGACTGACCCGCGTAGTGACGTTTTGTTCTTAACTAAATTCACATCATATCATATTTCCGACTTCTGTCAATGGTTATGCCAGGCCATTCAGTGAAGTGCCTGCTTGTTGCCATGTTCATTTCCCCGACTGCATTTCATTTACAAACGAAAATTGCTCCCCAAAGAGAAATGGAAAAAACGTCTTCGCGACTCAACACAGCATCATACGGAGACGAAAAATTTTGGGCATTTTTAAAGCTGTGTACAAAGTTGCCGATTATGTTGGGCAAGCCTTCACATCCGCTAGCGGCCCACTGTGCATTAATTAATGTACGACCCCGTTTGGAATCAGTTATATCAACCACTGAGCAGTATCGAATGAATAAAACTGCGACAAATCGCTGAAGATATGCGTACCTGCATACAATGGTCTGCGACGTCTCCCTCCATTGTTTATGGCCCAGCGAAACACTCACTCACTACAGAAAACAGTTCTGTAAGAGTCACGCATTGCAGTACATGGAGTCAAATAGTCACTAGTTCTACTTTTTCACGCTTTCTGATATGGCTGCTACAACACGTCAGGTCGATTTACTACCATTTTTCCTGCAGCTCTGAGGTACGAAGCATGAAGGACAGAGAGACAACGCGGTAAATGTCAACTAGCCGCAGATGCTGGACAAAGCCTATATAT